TGCACGGACAAGCTTGGTTTACAGTCACGGCAACTTTTTTGTGCTTTGGTATTCCCATGGTAAAATTAGATTAAAGGTTAAATCTTTAAGAACATACTCCATTTCTTGGTTCAGATTATTGTCATGAGAACCTTTCTTAGTTTGTCCATCTACTGAAAAGTTGACAAAAGCGAGGGTTTGCATTATGTTCACAATTTGGGCTAGGATTCATGTGACAGCTGTGTTTGCATGTTAATTGTGTAAAATGCACATTAGTATTAATTTGACTATCTTATCACTACGCCATGTACTTCTGCAGGCAAGTTGTTGTAATTATGCACTCTCAAATTCATGATGCATATTCACGGTTGGAGTTGACCTCTGCACAAGTTAAACGCAGGTACAGTTAACCAGCTATTACAATAACTGTTAAGAGGGGTAATGAAAAATTTTGGATTCAAAATATTGTAATTATGATAGATGTTTTCATGAGTATTTTGACCCATACCCATTTACGTCATTGAGTTTAGCCAATGGAGAATTGTCATGCAATGCCCATTGAAGTGATCGATTTTATTCCTATCATACACTTCAACAACCAGTTTTCATCTCTTTAATGTCATCTCCCGAGTTCAAAACCTGTTGATGCATGACATTTCATTTTCTTCAGAACATGTAGTTGACCTACACACACTGGAGAACGAAAAATTAAGAAAGAAAAAATGCAACATAATGATGATTAAATTATTTATTTGTTTGTATGATATTCTTTAGCTAAACCAATCTATTGTGCTGTCCCTGTGCAGTCTTCGCTGTGATATCCAGCATTTACTTGGATGCATCAGATCATTACCTTGTGATAGTTCGGGTAAATCTGATCATCCCCCAAACTGGGGACAACTCGATGAATTCCTTGAACAAAATTTTGGCTCTGAATCTGGTGAATAGATTCCTTTTCACCAAAGAAGATAACTGTGTAATTGGTTAAAGACTGACTATACTCAAAAGACTCAAATTGTACACATACGTGTCATCGTGCGGTATCATCCATCAATGAGGTAAGATTCAATCATCGAGTTGTAATTATTATTTTTTTTTTTTCCCATATCATTTCTCTGATTAATTCTAGATATCAGGTTTTGCAGATTCAATTGCTGAGGGTTACAAAGAGTCGTATATCAGTCTAATACAGTTTAAAATTATCCAAGTCATGTTGCAAACAGGACTAGGTTTGATTGAGCATATTCTTTTCTGTAGCAGATCCTGTATTATTTGTCTCTGTTCCCTTTTTTTTTCTGATTCGCGAAAAATAAGTCGAAAATTGTGCGTTTTCTGGTCCCGCCTTCGGCTTTCATGCTCGTGGATGTCTTTTGTTATTGTTAAATATATAATCCAATGAGTATTTTGGGTGTTCATATCCCAGATGCGGCCTACAGTCTCAATTTAATTTTCAAATGTGAGTTTGTGTGTTGAAGATGTTATTAATTCGAGCGTCTTATTGGAACATTTAGCAATGTGCAAATATATATATATATATATTTTTTTTTTTTTTTGGCTCATTTTTCACAATTGGTGCCTGGTGTGCATCTTTGGTAGCTTTTTGTCTTCATGCTCTTACATATCTTCCACAATGATACACAGTGAGTTAAGAATTTTAGTTGTGTTGTGCCTGTATTTTTAAGTCACTCTGGTTGAATTTCTCCTTATGCGCCCACACAGGGTTCTGAGCCGTCAGATAACACACACCCGGTTGTGTGTGTGTGGTCTGACTGTTTAGAAATCGTGTGTCCACACTGATCGAGTCGAATTAGATTTCATCATTGGGTTACATGCATTGCACGTGTATTTTGATCCAACGGTAATAAACCCGTGTAGCTGCTACCATACTTAATATTCTATTAGTACGTTTCACACATCTTTGTTATCTTTGATTGTTACATTATGTATACAACTGGCCTCAATATGACATTGTCAAAACATGTCAAATTGACATATGATCTGGAGAAAAATGAAAATGTCAGGGATTCAAAATTTGGTTTTTGTATTAGGCCTGTCAAACTATTAGGCTAACAAAAATATACGTATGACATTGATAGTATAAGTACACATTTTTTATTTAAATAGTATGAAAGGTCGATTCATTTAACAGTGTTTTGTTTTTTTGGAAGTGGCCATCCTTTTAGGCCGGCTGGGTTATTTCATATTCAATCATTTAATTTTTGAAAGTATGCATTTCTATTAAACAAAGTGTTAAGCTATCTAATTTTTGTTCCTAACACAATTTAATGAAGAAATAAATAAATATATTTTTACCTACATCTTTAACTACTACCATTTACAAAATTTTGGATGCATGTATGTATCTATAATCAGCTGGGACCAGGCACAGTCTGATAGAATTCCAAATAAAAAATAAAATAAAATAAAATAAAATAAAATAAATGTTTGATTTGACATATTGACATGATGTAACAAACATAAAATATGGCCCTCCAAATTTTAATTTAATTTAATTCACAATCCCCATTCCCCTATAATACCACCAACCAAACTCTACTCCATATATGCCTGTCCACCCAGCCCACAACATGCTTTAGTTTTGTATTTTAATTACTCAAATCAAATTCATTTATTTTTTATTTTTAGTTTTTGGTTCATTTTGTTGGATTATTATTGAAATTTTTAAATAGAGATGTGGTTCACAGTACATTTGAAAAGTGTCAGTTTTAGGACCTTATTACAGAGGAAATGCTATGGTCCCGTTACGGAACCATCCCGTCGGGAGTTATAACTGTTAGATACACATGTAGTTAGTATAAGATAGATGATCTAACGGTTAAAACACCCGACGAGATGATTCCGTGACCGGACTGTAGCATTTCTCTTATTACATTTTACACAAAGGTCATGAATATTAAACTGTGGATAGTTTTATATTAATGGATTTTTTTATTTATTTTTTTGCTCTCATTTGTCCAAATTCCCATGAATGAATAGTGTTTGGCCAACCCTATTATATGTCCTATGTAGCAATAGCTTGTTTGTAACACTGTGTGAATGTCGGTTTGCCCTAAAATTTGGGCTCAATTTAAGTCAAAATCATGGATTTGGTAAAAAAATTTATATTTGGGCAATTAGAAAAAAAAAAATGATTTTAGGCTTATTAATAATACCAACTTTGTCAACATTATGAGGTTTTTGGCTTGATATATAATACCAATTTAAGTCACAATCATTCTCATTTTAAATATTATTTTAATACAAACTTAAAATTTCACTAACCATACCAAAATTTTTTAAATTAACCATGACTAAAAAAACAATCAAATACCAACATATTTGTAAACAAGGCTAGCTTATCCAAATACTCCTACTCATACCCTTTTAAAAATTGAAATAAATAACCCAATAAGAAAATTTTTTTTATTCTCCAAATTAGTACTACTAATTAGCTATTATTAGTGATAGAGTGAAAGATGTGACTGATTTTCAAAAGGGTTCTCAGTAACAAATTCACTTTGCAAGCCACAAATTTAGAATGGTCTCTCCAAAAAACAATTGTTTGTTCCAACCAAAAAA